ACACTGACTCTTATTGTGAAGACCAGTTTTTTAAGGGGGGGAAAGAAAAAAAGAGGAGACTTGAATCTCATCTACACTCTCTCCTATTTGGCATTTAGAGATGACTGGGAGGCTGGAAAGTTGTCAGTTTGTAATCATAGCAGAAAACAGAGATTTGTTGACATAATTTCTTGGCATGATGTTTAGAGTTATTTCAGTACTATTACATAATTTCTATTTTTATTTTTCAAGGGCCATGGTGACTTATTTAATAGATAGTCATTTAAAAATTATAATTTATAGAAGTAGAGTTATCCTGTGACCCAGCAGTCCCACTGCTGGGTCCGCCCAGAAGAACTGAAAGCAGGATCTTGAAGAGAGATTTGTACCCCTACGTTCATAGCAGCATTATTCACAATTGCAAACATGTGGAGGCAACTTAAGTGTACATCAGAGTATGAATGACTAACCAAAACATGGTCGATACACACAATGCAATAATATTTAGCCTTAAAAAGGAAAGAAGTTCTGACACATGCTGCAACATGGATGAACCTTGAGGGCATCATGCTAAGTGAAGTAAGCCACTCACAAAAAGACATACTGTATGATTCCACTAATATGAGCTACTTAGTCAGACTCATGGAGGCAGGAAGAATGGTGGTTACCAGGGGCTGGCAGAGGAGGAGTGGGAGTTCATATTTAATGGGTCTAGAGTTTCAGTTGTACAAGATAAACAGTGTTCTGGAAATGACGGTGGACATGATTGTCCAGCCTTCTGGTGTGTGTAATACCACTGACCTGTACACTTCAAAGCAGTTAAGATGGTAAATTTTATGTTAAGTGTATTTTACCACAGTAGAAAAATTGAAAACTTCCTATGTTTTTTTTCTTGGAAGAAATATTTTTCACAATATAGGTTAGTAAGGAATTTTGCACATAAAAATTTGAATAACTACAAAATACATGTTTTCTACAGCGGTTTCCGCTGGATAAAGAAATACAGTGATCTTGTTTTGCTAGTTTTTTTGAGGAACCTTCGTGTTGTTTTCCGTAGTGGCTGAACCAATTTACATTCCCGCCAGCAGTGCACAGGGTTCCCGTTTCTCCACAGCCTCTCCAGCATTTGTTGTTAGTGGCCTTTTGACGCTAGCCATTCTGGCAGGTGTGAGGTGATACCTCATTGTGGTTTTGATTTGCATTTCCGTCATGTAATCATGAGTGATGCTGAGTGCGTTTTCATGGACCTGTTGGCCATCTGTGTGACTTCTTTGGAAAAATGTCTATTCAGATCCTCTGCCTATTTTTTAATTGGGTTGTTTGTTATTTTGATATTGACTTGTATGAGATGCTTATGTGTTTTGGATATTAACCCCGATCAGACACAGCGTTTGCAAATATTATCTCCCATTCAGTAAGTTGTCTTTTTGTTTTGTCAGTTGTTTCCTTTGCTGTGCAAAAGCTTTTAAATTTAATTAGGTCCCATTTGTTTACTTTTGCTTTTTGTTTTCCTTGCCCGAGGAGATAGAGCCAAAAAATATTGCTACAATTTATGGCGAAGAGTTTTCTTCCTGTGTTTTCTTCTAGGAGTTTTATGGTTTCCGGTCTTACATTTAGGTCTTTAATCCAATTTGAGTTTATTTTTGTAAATGATGTGAGAAGTACAATGACTTTGGAAGAACCGTGCTGACCAAAAAGAAAACACCTCTTAATATATTTTGGATTTAGGAAATCTCTAGTGCTGCACAAGTCTGAAACATTTTTAAGGAAGGAGGCTTCTTTATTCTTTTTCCCCAGAGAAGCACGTTAGTCCCACAGAATATGTCAAAACCGCCTTATTTATATTCATGTTCCTGCATCCAAGTAACAGTGCCACCCCCCCTGCGGCTGGGAATTAGCCTGGGAACCACCATACACTCTGTTTGCTTTGTTATTTTATTAATCTATCTCAATGAGATATTATTTCCAGCTACTGCCTCATGATCATTAAAACCCTGGAAAATGACAACGTTCGTCACTGGATCAGTTAATAATGTGCTAGGTGTAAAAACGTGTATTTGTAGAATAAGCTGTGTGTCAGTGCCATTTTGAAGTGTTAAAAATGAACATTTGAGATGTGCAACACTCTTTTTTAAAATGTATTATTTGGAACCAGGTGTCTTTATCCCTAAAAAAAAAAAATGCAACACTGACATTGTAGTCAGCATCTTACAGGTTTTTCCGTTATGACATTTTGAGAAATTTCTATCTTGGATCTACGTGGGTTTGCTAAGTGTTATTATGTCTAGAGAATCAATGAGCAAAAGTGATGGGTTACATCTGAGTGAACTTAGTGAGACTTTCCAGTGTGCTTTTCTTTTTTTGTGAAGCCTAGAGAAATAGTGGGATCTGTTTCAACTCAGTCCAAATAAGTTAATTCTTGGAGCACATAAACGGCCTCTTTTAAGATGAATCCACAGCATGCGAGGGGCATGTCAGCGAGGTCTTTTTAGTTTGAACCTCAAGGAGATGTCCAGTTGTATAAATCTGCCTTTTTGGAAATAAAAGATAATTTCCTAGAATGTGTAGATATCAGTGACTCATAATCAGGTGACTCCCCTGTGCCTGTCATTTTGACACATTTTCACCGAAACACCCAGGTACATATTATTTGCTGGTGAAGATCTGGTGGAAAGAGATGGCTGAGCGACCAGCCCCCATTTAGTGAGTAAGCGCTGTGTCCTGAATCCTTTGTCACCTCCTTTGTGAGATGTTGACAGTTAATCTTCACAGTGACCTTTGAGGTAAGGGCTACAGTTCTCTCCATTCTCAGACCAGAAAATCTGGGCTTTGAGAGGTTTGCTTACTCAAGATCACATAGTTCGTGAAGGCAGGATTGAACCCAGCTGATAGACAAACACCCAAGATTGTCCAGTAGGTAATCATTTTGGTTCCAGTGCTGTGTCCCGACATAATGCTGCCTGGAATCCTTGGAGAGCTGTCAACTCTGTCTTCTGCAGCCTCAGGAAGATGGCATGTGCCCTGAGCTTACTCTCTACGTAACCCACTGTGATGCATGCTGCTGGGTCTAAGATCCGGCAGGACGCACAGACCTGGGCCCTCTTGGAATCTCTGACTTGTTTAAAAATATCTACGGAGCGTCACATCCTGACATCCTAGGGTTTAAGTCTTGGGATTAAGATAACCAACTGGAGGGCGTGGTTTATTGGGGAGGTACAGCTGTAACTAACCTTCCTTACTGGGCTGAATGTGTTCCTGGAGACCGGTGAGGCGCCAGGGCATGAGGAGGAGGGAGTGGTAAAAGCTTGGGGAGGTCAAGGGATCGCGTCTCAAAGGAGGGATTGTCCGAGCTGTGCTAACACCCAGTGGGCTGAAGCCCGCAGACACACATCAGGACACGTGGGGTCCCTCAGGCCGTGAGTGGCACCTGCAGTGTGAGGCCAGGAGGAAGGGTGGCCCCCAAGAGCATCATGCAGGGGTTCAGAATCGCTGGGGACCGTGCAGAAGGAGGTGGGGGCAGGAGATGCCCCTCCTTGAATTGATAGGATACCCGGGCTGCCAGCCTGAGTCAGGTCTGGCTTTGACCCTAAAGGGGATGGAGAGCCACTGACAGTAGGTATAGGAGTGGGGGAATAGGAGGGCATGGTCATAATCTGATATAAAAATATAGATTTTGCTGCCACGCGAAAGACTGGCAGTCTGGGCATCGGGAGACAGGTTGCAAGGTGATGGTTCTGGTCCAGGTGGTGTGTTAGGATGAAACATTGGGAAGGGAGTGTGGCTGCATTTTCAGCTCAGTAAACTCGCTGCTGCCAGGTCTCCCTACCTCAGGAGGCCATCTGTTCAGATCTGAGGTTGTTCGTTGCTGGCATGCTTTCATCACGAGCCGTATTTGCCCCTGTAACGGTCACCAGTCAGAGTGATGTCTCTTCCCCATAAGACGGTCAGCCCTCCACGCCCACTCCCAGGCACTTCCTCAGTTGATTTTAAATCTTTCTAGGTCCTCTTCCTAACTGTCTGTGCCTCAGTTTGTCAAGATCCGATGGTACTCAACGCTCTTAGCGGCCTGGATTGCCTTGCAGGTACCGGGTAATTCCAGGCTCATGCGTCTTCTGAGAGACGTAGCAGTGGGGAGGGGGAGAGAGGCTGGGGACTCCAGGGAGGATTCAGGCGCTAAGCTGGGCTTTAGAAGGAGGACTGTGATGAGTCCGTCCAGAGCAGAATAGAACATCACCCAGTGCCCCGCACCCGTGGACCGATTTGGAGCAGCGTAGTGCTTGCGTGCATTTGTACTGAGTTCAATGCTTCTGTTAGTTCAGCCTGTAATTTCTCTAGTATTTTTGTGATAGTTGAGAGTCGAGTGAGAAACTCAAGCTCCTAGGTCTCTTCCTCATTAATTAGTTGATAACTTCCGCGGTGGATGCATTTCTCCCACGTTGGGGGATGATGAACTTTGTAAGGTCAAAGGCTCTTTCTTACTTAGTCCTTGTCCCTTTTTCCGTCTAGTGTTGTGACCAACAAGCACATGGTGGCACTTTAGGATATAGTTATGGAATGAACGCTATTCATTTATTTCCCTATATTTGATTTTAGAACTGGGAAATTATTCCATCTTCACACATTTGGAATCATGATTCTATTATGTAAAATTTTAGCCATTTTTAACCTCGAATTAGTGATAACTTTGGTAAGCCTGTCTTGTGTCTCTGTTTACATCATAGTTAATATTAAGCACGTGCAGTGGACTAGGAGAGAGCCTTGTGCGTGTTTAAGAAGTATTTCCCAGTTAATGTGTCAAAGGGTTTTAAAGGATGGCTTTAGAGTTGATTTGTAGCCTGGCCCACGTTTAAGTTCCCATACTTGTTAGTTTTTTTCCTGCATATTTCTTGGTAATTCTTTTCCCTTTTATGTGTTACTCTCTGTGGGTCCTCAGTCGTGTTAGGAAGGCTACCCGTTTACGCTGAGGTTTATCTTAGACTAAACGTTGTTGGACCACTGTCTGAAGACCTGTTAAAAGACCACAACCAGCAGGCTGTAGGAAGCTGTAGGACAGTGGAATAATTTAGTTTCCCTATAAGCAGTATGATTGACGGCAGGTTTTGTTTTTTCTTTTTTTGATGGTGTCCAGGTACTTAGCCGTCAGGTTGCTATCATCCTGCTTAAGTACTGGAAGATGTTGACACCATCTGCTGAAGGAGTTTCAGATCTTATTGCCGAGGTTCATGATTTTCAGGTTAAATAATGGTGGCACGGAATTTTGTTTTGTTCGTTTTTAATCAGTTTTGTTGAGACAGATACTGTATATACAATTAAATTAGCTGATTTCAGTGTATAATTAAGTGCGTTTTCACAGATACACACGGTCATGTCCCCACCACTACAGTCATGACACTGGACCTTTCCATCCCCCAACGTGGTCTGTCCTGCCTCTCCGCAGTCAGCCTCTACCCCCACCACCGACCCCTGGTAACACTTGATCTGCTTTCTATTGCTGTAGTTTGTTTTCTCTATAATCTCTTACATATTTAGCCATTTGTGTTTGACTTCCATCCCATGGTGTAATACTTTCGAGATTCATCTATGTTGTTGTGTCATCAGTGATTAAGTAGTATTTTTACTACCAAGTAGCAGTCCCTTGTGTGAGACACCACAATTTTTTCATCCATTGACCAGTTGATGGACATTTGAGTTCTTTCTAGTTTGGGGCCGTTATAAATAAGACTATCGTGACCATTCTTGTACAAGTCTTTGTGTGGAATTTGTGTCTTTAAACCTACCTAGGGGTGGAATTACTGAGCGTGTGTAGAGGGGATCTTCTGTCATCTGTTGGCCTGTTTTGATTTATCTTGCCCTGCTTCCCCACGTGGACTCTTTACTGAATCTGTCAACTCAGGAAACCATATGTGGAGGTACGAACTAAGGCTCTAAGCACACACGCTCACACATCTACATCCGTCATGTGCAAACCTTGACTCGGGTGCCACCGTGAAGGTCCCTTCGTGGTCCCAGCCTGCAGTAGGTGAGGGCATCCTCTCATGCTTTCTGGTTCTCTGGCAGCTGCGGCCGTGCAATGTCAATAACTGGGAAGTCAACCCATGACTGTGGATGGTAAGTCTCTGATCTGGGTAGGTTCGGTGCTCCTGAATGACTCCAGACTTGTAGAGAATAAGAGTCCTGTCTGAACTCATGGCTCTAGGAATAATTTACCTTGAAATCCTTACTTTAAAAACTGCTTATGTAAGCTGTCGAATCCCTATGTCTTGCTGGATAGCTTTCTATCAAATCGACTTGAAGAGGTAGCAAAGCTATGATTATGATTTGACTACAAACAAGAAAGGGAAATTCTATTTTTAGAGTAGGTTTATGTAGGTTAGACAGCCTCAGAGCATCCCAAGTTTCATTTCCCATTTCTCAAGGGCCTTAAAAAGGTTGAATCTAGCTGGCTCAGTGGAGCAAAAGGCAGAGATGTTCTTGATGGCTTTTTTGAGCAGTGTTTCCTATTAATACACAGTTGAGTTGACTCACCAAGTGGTGTTCATTCCGTGTAGAATAATGGATGTGTAGAAAGATGGATGAAATTATGAGCGCTGAAGGGTTATTCATGAAAATTAAAGATCAGTTATGACATAAGAGAGCACTGGGTTGGCACCTACTAGCAGAATTGAGGTCTAGGACCAGCTGAGCTGTGTGACTTTGAAGAGGTCACTTGGCCACACTAGGCTTTCATTTCCTCAGCTATGAAGTGAGTCAATTGAAAGAATATGTGCTGTGAATGATTTTTATTGGGATGGCCTTGAGTCTACATGGCAACTTTGAAAATACATCCAGTCCTGAAGTTCCTTGTATATGTGTGACTTTTCTACCTCTGAATCATTGAAGTCAAAATTCAGCTCTTTCTTACTTTCTCTCTTCCAAAGTATGAGAAGGAAAAGGCAGAAATAGTGTTAAAGATGAAAAGGAATTTTTGATACAACTTGAGGACAAAACAAAACATACTGTTTTCAAAATAGTAAAATATAAAACTTTTATTTTGTTATTATGGGTCACAATCAATTTATGTTGGACCAGAGGTATTTTGGATGAAAATTTATCTAATGTCCTGTTCAAAGTCTATGATTGTATTCATTTGCATTCCTGGAATCCCATATATTTCAGCAAGCAAATAAAATAAAGTCTTAAATTGCTGGCAGTAAGCAATCAAAAAGAGCCATGGAAATTGAAGTTTCCATCTCCATTTTAATTTAGTACTAGTTTTTATTTTATGTTCTTGTTGAACATTGTTGGGTAATGAGTCAAGGGAGGGTAGATTATTTTGAAAGCTTTAAATGCGAGAGTTGGAATTATCAGTCTTAGCTGTTATTTAAATAGACATTTTCAGGCTTTCTTTTTCTTTTTCTTTTTTTTTTTTTTGAAGCTATTCAAAATCTAGGTCAAGATTTGCACCCTAGCTCATAAAATTCTGGCATGTTGTTCATTACCAGTCACTCCAGAAAGGAGATAATGGTGGTGGGGGAGCTGGAAATCAGCCTTAATGAAGTAGTTCTTGGCCATCCTCTGTTGAAGTCCCAAGTGCCTCCTTGAAAATTTTACTATTGCTGACTCCTATTGCCATGCAAAACATAGAGTGAATCTCAATCAGAAAGGTACCTGTTATGGTCAGAGCATCTTCCCTCCCTTTTTGCTCACTCCCCTTTCAAGTAAACGAAGATGTGGTTATCTGGACTGACCACACAGGTCGAAAGCAGACCCTAAGGGAGGAGATGGTGACGTTTTCCACCATGGTATTTTTCTTGTGAGCTGCCAGATGTCCAGATAATGATCACTTGCATGAGTCATCTGAGTCTCTCCTAGAAGAGTAAGAACATTTATGTGACACCCAGACTTGGGGACACAACTTTCCTCCAAAAGCCCCAGTTTCTTTCCTTCTGTCACATTGTTTCTGGCCATAAGAACATGCCTGGTCCATGTTAATTATTTCCTTCCTAAAAATGAAATATTGTAGACCCCAAAATTGGGGTAATGTCGCCTCCAAGGGCTGTCCTTGCTCCAGGAGAAAGGAGGCTCGTGTTTGTGAGCTTGTGTGGGAGCTTTGTGTGGAGGATGAGGAAGAGAAAATGCTGACTTGCAATGTTTTAGTCCGTTGCAAACATTAACAAAGTTTCTGAAATATAAACACTATATCCGTTTGCCTCCCATGAGATAGGGTTTCTTGTGAAAAGGCTACATTAGTTTCTGCCAGGTTTTTGTGGATTAGAAAGACTGTGGGTCGTGCTAGGGGTGTGGAGCCTGGACAAAGCCATGCTGGGGTCTCCAAGAGAATGGCAACCCACAGGCTCGTTTGGGTATCTTCCATTAAACGCACAAACAAAGCCAACACTATAGTTGATTTTTATCTTCTTCTAGAATTAATTTAAAGTTTTACTATCGCAACTGTATTAGGAAGAAGCTTCGGACCCAGTTTTTTCCCAGGTATATTAGGAAATCCACTGTCTCTGGAACACAGTGATAATTGGTTTCTTTTAAATGATACTTTAAACATTATTCACTTTTATTCTCCAGGATAATGTTTAATCTGTACTTTTATTTTAGAAATCTCCAACTGGACATCCCAGTTCCTGTCCTGTTAAGTCTAGAATTGGAAGTCAGCAAGGCTCTCCACGGCCTGAGAGGGAAGTAAAGGTAATTACATGTTAGAAAGTGAATTATTAAATTCATGTGTTCATCTGTGATCATAAAGTAATGACAACCCCTCATTTGTTGAGCAGAATGTGGGTGTCCCCCTGCCTCCTTTTCCACCATCTCCCTCCTGTTCACCCTCCCTCCTTGTCCCTCCTCTCCTGCACCCCCCAGTCCCTCCTTCTCTCTCTGCCTTCTCCTCCCCTCTTCCCTCCTCTCCCTCTTTCCACGTATCCACCCAGCAAAGGTGTGTGGAGTCCATCCTTTGGGGTCTGGCGGAAATAGCCTCCGAAACGGGCGGCCCACCCAGCTCTGCCGGCTCCTGCCTGTCCCATCGCTGCCCCCAGGCCTTCCCCCTCGGCCCTGAAATGCCCGCGCTTCCCCGGCTCTCTGTGAAGTTGCCTGGCGTTTGCTTGCGGTGGCTTTTTCTGCAGGTTCGGTGGCTGTCCAGCCTCCTCGGTTAGATGCGCAGTCCCGCGTGGGGATGACGGAGCAGGTGTGTACTGTCTCCTAACGGGTGAATTTGTAAATGTGCTCGCTTGGTGTGAGACCTGGTTTATTTTTCCCAGCCACCAACATAATACATACCTTGCAAAAAAAAGTTAAATGATCCTGATCCAAAACATAGAATGTGACCATCTACACCAAAGCCACTCCCCAGAAATAATGCCAGTGAAATCTGGGTGCACACACCTTAATTCTTTTCCTCTCTCTGCATATACTAATGTTGTTAATGAAGGTGTTTTATGAAATTTTTAAAATTTACTTAAGAATAGATCTTGAGTAGCTTTAGAATCCATTAGCGTGGACCAGGCTTTGATCGTGATCCAAACATTGGGTTATTTTGGTTTCTCTTATTGGATAGTGTCGTTTTTCCATCATTCTTTTTTTTTTTAAAGTATTTCATTTACTTATTATTGTATTATTTAATTATTTTATTTTGCTGTGGGAGGGTAATTAGATCTATTTAATTTTTTAGAGGCGACACTGGGGATTGAACCCAGGACCTCAGGCAAGCTAAGCATGTGCTCTACCACTGAGTTCTCCCCTCCCCCATCTTCCATCGTTCTTAAATGTGAAATATATATGAACACATTATCACCCATGCTCTATGGTTGCTCTAAAACTATAAAAAGGGAAGCAAACGGGAATCTGACAATGCTTGATTCTACCATATCTAAATTAAAGGAGGCTTGTAGGAGGAATGTTGACATTCTTGTCCCTGTACTTCGAATCTAAAATGCATTCGAGCCATTGGTGTATTAGAGAATTTCTTTCCCTTTGACACATCTGCTTTCCTTACACTTGAAACAAATGGCATTACTTGAAAAGAGGAGAGGACATAATTCAGGTGACGGTGAGTCACCCCTGGAAGTGAACGTTTTTGAGCCCTGCCTGGTTATCTTCGCTCTGTGCTTGGCATCTTGCTGCTCAGTGAAGCTGGCAGCTGAACGGAAAATGCAGCTTGGGAATCGGAGCACTGAGAGCCCCTTTGTTAGGACGCTGAGAATATGATGACTTTTCAAACTTGCCCTTAGTGTTACTGTAATACAGTAAATAAAGACGTTTCCGTGGGGGAGATATTTTGTGTGGTTTTGAATGCGGTGAAACTCGGTCTTGTTCTGTCCTGCGTTTAGGATGCTGCTGGGCTGGAGCCTGTCTCTGCTTTCTTTCTGCCCTCCCTCCTCATTCTCCCCCTTCTCTATCTAACCCTCTTCCTTCTTCAACCCACCTGCTTACAAGATGGATCTTACTTGTGGCCCTGTCTGTCCTGGCTCTCTTAGCGGCCCTGTGCTATGTATGACCTGGACTTCCTCCAAGGTCCTGATGAGAATTCCCACTACCAGCAGTAATGAGGCTTGAGCCGTGACGCCACCCCTCCCTTCCTGCTGCAGACTTGTGCTCCCACAGACCCCTCCCTACGTCACTGGCCCCAGGAGGCAGCAGTCAGCCCCTCTGCTGGATCCACGGTGCTGCCTCTCCGCTGTTGACTCAGATCCACCTCCCAGATGGTTTTGCCAGTGTTCTTTGCTGTATCTTTTCTCAGCTGATTTGGGAAGAAAACATTCTGCTCTATTAGCATCCCAACTTTGTAGCAGAGAACAGAATAATGGTTGTGTTCAGCGGGAGACACTGAGGCTCAGCCAGAAGTTTTATGTTCTCTTTGAAATCAAGACTTACTCTCTTATCTGCAGCGCTCATTTCTCACAGTGGAACTCGAGCAGTGTGTCTCCTGATCTTGCCGCGTGTTCTTCCCGACCCGACACGTTAGCCTCTTTCATTAGGTGTTTTGTTTGTCTGTTTGTTCGTTTGTTTTTGGAAATTTGCACGACTTTAAAAATTTGACTTTGTTACACGGTTGCACATAGGTTATGGTTTGTCCTGAGATTAAACAAGTAAACAGATACTTCTCAAATCTGTTGCAGTGCCAAGTGAAAGTTTCTAAAACCCACAGAGTATCCCATTCTGAGTTGTTGCTCAGAATGGGATAAATGAGTGGGTTCCCCCCTGCCCCACCCCCCACAGATGCACACCCAGAGGTGACCTTTGATTTAAACTTCACTGAGTTTGCCTCCTTATTTGCTTTTGGTATTGATCTGACCTGAGCACCATCAAAGAGCAAACCATGTAAGCAGGAGTATTTCAATATGTAGTGATATATGCAGTTCTTTAAACCCTTCAAAGCCTGAGAATTTGAATTTTTCTTCTCTAAGTCCTGTCTTTTTGAATCTCTGTAGTATAAACTTAGATTTTTTTTCCTTAGACTGAATTTCCCTGATTAATATCCAGTCATACTTTTATGTATGTATTTTTACTCCGTTTTATCGTTTAGTTAAAGGAGAAAAACATCTAGGGGAAGGTTTTGGCTTTTGAGGGTTTTTTGAGACCATTAAGTTATTGATAGACTTTTCATGTATTCATGGCATTTAAGTACAAGTTTGTTAATTTTTTTTTCCAACTTAGTCTCTAATCCTGGCCTCTGATTAGTCTTCTACAAAACCTGTTATCAACAGTAAATGATTCTAATTGTTACATGTGATGATTTAAAAAAAACAACACAATACTTAGCACTTTTTCAGGTTTTTGTACACAAGTGTGCGATTTGGCTTTTCTTCCTCTAAGGGGAATTTGATTATTTCATTGATTTAAAATGTTTCCAATTTATGCTGCACACTCTGGTCATAAAGATGAAGTTCTGTTTTAAGGAGGAGCGCTACCTTTCACATTTTTTAGTAGCATCTCTTTTCCAAGAGTACCGTTCCTGACTGCGTCTTCTGCCTTGTTTCCGACGTTAGTTAGAATTGGGAAGCAGACGCTTTTTTTCTGTCTTCCTTGCTGCGGCTTGGGGCCACCAGTCCTCGTCATCTTGCTCCTCCTTTTCTCTGTCCAGCTGCTGTTTGCATGTCGTCTCAGAGGATGCTCTGCTGTCTTTGGTCTCTGTTACCTGAGCAGGTAGGCGTCACCAAAACCTGACACATGCAGGGACTGTCTGGGCTTGAGATGCAGGCTGTAGGGGACTCGGTGAATTCCAGATTGTTCTGGCCTAGTAAACCCCCCAATATTTGTTTCTTAATCTTCAAAAGGTACTTTTAGGAGGTTGATTGTACCTACTGAAAAAGCAGGTCATTCTCACCGTGAGTGACAGCTGATGACATAAAAATGTGTTGTAGACTTTTTCCACTTACATTTTAAAGCTCAGGCATTGCTCACTCTGGATCCGGTGGCCAGGCCGCTGTCACTCCTCACATCAGCCCTAGGACATTATCAGTGTCTGTTCTGTTTACTCAGAACTGGGTCGTATTTTCTGTATGAAATCGAGGAGTGTTTGAGATGGAGATGTTGCAGGTTTCACTTTAACTCCTTATTGTACAGAGGAGAAAACTGAGACCACTTTACAGTTGCCTTCATTTAATATAAATGCAGCAAAGATATCTTTTTCTATTGTTGTTAATGTAGGTATTCTTCATGTAACCAAAATATTTATAAAAAATAACTAGTGCATTAAGTCATATTAAAGGTGATCAGCCTTCAGTATGCACCCCAGGAAGGGACAGCTTTGTTTAAACTGGGGCCTCTGGGAGCAGAGCTGGCTTCCATGAGTGTCCTCAGTGGCCATGTGGTTGCACTTGCTCCTTTAATAGTTCACCTAACACACGGGCATCCACAGTACCATGTGAGAAGGCAGGGCTGGTACTCTTGAGAAGCTCAGAGATAATCTGCCAGAGTTGTTACCTGACCCCCTGTTTCTGTAAATTTAGCATCTGGTGGGGCCACCAGAAATCCCCGAGGAAGCTGAGCAAAGTATAGCAGCCCTGCATTAGGGTTTATGAACTGGCATGTCCCCGTGTCCTTCTGGGGTAGCCCTGCAGGGTGTTGCCCGAGGTGCCTGGGATTAGGTTCCAGGTGAAACCGAGAAGGATCCTGGGGGGCCTTCCTGGGGATAGGCCTCCCTGCCCCTGTCCCCCTTGTCCCTTGACTCTAGTTTGTGAAAAAGCTTTAACCTCCTAGGCCTTCCCCCAGTTCCAGAGAACAAGTTTTGTCAGAAAAGTTTTTTAAAAAATGCAGAAACAAAGGAAAGCAGCCAAGCAAGACAAAATAATAACAATTTAGTTGTAAAACAAAGTCAAGGACCTTTAGTTCCTCTTCAGGGTGTATAGATAATACCCTGAGCCAGAGCCTTGAGTTATTTTGCAGATACTGAAACCTCCAACAGATGGACAAAGTTAACTGCATGCTGACCACCAACAGGCAGACCCCAGACTGATTGAAACCAAAAGGTTGATGATTGAGAGTCCTCAAACATCACCCTGTTACCTCACCACCAGCCAATCTGAAAATTGTGCATGAGCTGATCACACACCCTGCAACCCTCTCCTTTGCTCTGTCTTTAAAACCCTTCCCAAAAGCCATCGGGAAGTTCGGGTCTTTTAAGCATGAACTGCCCATTCTCCTTGCTTGGCGCCCTGCCATAAATGCTGTGCTTTCCTTCGCCACAACCTGGT